TGTGTGTCTGTGTGTGTCTGTGTGTGTCTGTGTGGGTCCATGCATGTATTCATGAGCTGGTGTGTCTCACCTGGAAGTAGCAGGTTAGGCTGTACGTTTAGTTGCTTCCTGCATGTGTGTCTGCACACATTAATCTGATGAGTGTTGACTCCAGCACGCCTGAGCAGCTAATAGATACAGTGCATTAATTATTACAGCACATACCTGAACATTCTCATAAATAATTACCTGCATGTTCGTTTCTAAGCAGGTGTTTCCTTTAATATCTCCCCCTGAGTGACGGCTGCACCCTCTGTTCTGATTACAGCTGTATTACTTATGCTAATGTGTACAGCTCGTTGCGTAAATGCTTGTCATGAGCTGTTGATTGAGGCGGGAGCCAACTAGAGGTGAGCGGCTAGCTTGTAAATTGGCGTCTGTTCTGCCTTAAGTGTTGCGCCTTTGAGCAAAACACTGTGTGGGTTTCATTTGACAGCTTGTGCTGTAACATGTGGCACTAAACCTGAAGTCTGGACGTGGAGCAGGTCCCATCATAATGTCCACCATGAGGTTATTTAGTGGTAATGTTTTCACCAGGGCTAAAAATGCAGGAATGATGCTGCACTTTGTGACATCACATGAAAACAGGTTTTCTGCTATTTTATATTTTTGTCCACAACAGCCATGTTTGCACATCTTCCTGCTGCTGATCACTCACTAAATGGGAGATAATTGTCTGATAATCATTTAAAACAGCATCAATAAGCAGAAATGCTTCATGAATGAACTCAGTGTAAAGCTCATGGTTCACTGTGAACAGATCGCCCCTCCCAGGGCTAACACAGAGAGGCACCATTCATGCTCACACCCCTGACTGAGTACTGTGAGCCAGAGAGAACCCACACAGCCGGCCCGTGGATTCAAACCCAGGACCGTCTTGCTGTGAGGCAGCAGACGCGCTTTTCTGATGTCATCTGAGCCTTTTGGTTCTGTTTGTAACGTTGAGGGTGGCGTCTTCCTAACGCTGCACGAATAGCTTAAAATGACTGAAGGCTACGCTCAGAGTACAGCATAGAAGTACTGCATGCTGCTCCTGAACAATAACCTGAAAAAATACCAGTTATGAATAATTCCAAAAGTAATTAAACTGTAATTAATTGAGTAAAAATACACAGATGGAGAAAAAATGTTTAGTGCAGGTGAAGAACTAGTTTCAGATGTTGAAAGGTGAGAAAACTGATTTGTGATTGAAAAGCTGAACACAGACAGGAGCGATGTCCTGTTTGTGAGATGCCTCCTTTTCTGATCCAGACCAAAACAAAAACCGGGAAAAGTGTTTGAGCTCTCCAACAGCGACACCAGAAATCCACAAAGATCCTCAGCAGAGCAGAAGCTCCTGTTTTAAGCTCAGCTTGTCAGATAGATTCTGTCTAACATGGCTATAAATCTGCAAAGTGCCAGAGCACAAAGGCAAAACAGTGGTTTGCCATCATCTGACGTCTATTTGACTCATTCCAGCACATCATAACGCTCCGGGTACTCCGACTTGCTCCCACAGTCCAAAGACATGCAGTCAGTGGGTCAGGTTACACGGTGAATGTTTGTCTGTGGCTCTGTGTCAGCCCTGAGACGGGTACCTGACTAAGGTGTACCCCCAGCCCCAGACAGGCTCCGCCCCCACACGACCCTGAATTGAATAAGCAGAAGAAAATGAATAGATGGATGTAAATGCTCCTTAGTCTGCTCCTTTAGTGCAGCCCTCAGTTCAGCCTCTCTTCTTCTCTTCTTTTGATTGGCTGCTCCTCACAAACAGCAGGTGGGTGGAGCTTCTTACACCCACCTCACGATGACATCACACAGATCAAAAAGCAGAAGTGTTTCAAGCAGTCAGACAGAGTACTTCTACACACACTGACCGCATCATTATTACAAATGCATAAAATCAGCAACAACAGAGGTGTGTGTCCAGTTTGTAACAAAATACAGAAAAACAAACATTTTATTTTTAGACGTCTTTTTATTGTTAAAAACATCAGACCCTGATTGTGTTTGTGCGCCTTTTATTTTATAGCCTTTATAAAATAACAGGTGGTTTTTAAACACAATGTTGGAGTACAGTGCAGCCAATGAGGAATGTTACACTTTATCCTAAAATGTGGAAAAACCCTTCGGAAATATTGATGTGAAATCTCTCCATGTGTTCGACAAGAAAAGAAAAAAAAAGAATTTTGTCTCTTTTTCTGTTCCTGGACGAACTCCAGGGCGTCTCTGTGACCTCACTAACCATCAGTCTGTGTCTTTCTCTCTCGTAGCAGAAAGGCTGGAGCAGCTCCCTGCGGCCGATGGACAGACACGGAAACGTAAAGGTAGATCTCACTGCTGCCATCCGTCAGCTTCCAGTGATCCTCCTCCATGTCGGACTTCTCTTCCTCTTTGCCTGCTGTCCTGCTTCCCTCCATCCGCCTCCTATCTGTCATCTTTAATACGCTTCCACTCCCATAAAGCTGATGACAGATAGAGAATATTTCCTCCCACTCTGCCGCCTACACAGTTTTTAATAACTGATTTATCGGAGGAAGGTCTGATAAGTGTGCGCCAGCTCTCTGAGCAACCAGAAGCTCTCTTTCATGTTTGCACATCTACATTTGAAGCTTTCTGTATTCACTGCCTCCGTGTTTCAACACCTTCCTTTACTCTTACAATACAGCTTCCACCTCTGATTCCAAAACCTTTAATCTCACAGGAATAACATTTTAAATAAAAAGCCCTCAGTAG